TACATATAAATTACACGCGACAAACATGTGTCCAATCTATGGTTCAACCATATAGATATACGACTGTTAGAGGGATTGGAGACTGGTCACGTGAGCGCATTACTACTACACTCACCATCCGCGTTTGTGTTAAGTATATTCATAGTCACGCCTTTTCTTTGACCTTGTGCTATTTCAATGGAGGAAGAGCAGAACCAACAGTACATTTTTGTGGGACTATTGTATTAGTTTGGAAGCTTAATACAGACAGGTAAGGTATTGAGCAGTTAGGTAAAGGTTTAAAGTAGTTGACTGGGTCCTTTATAAGTGCCTACAGATGTAGATACTGCAACAGTAGAGCCTAAAGGGTATTTTCCACTTGTTGACTTTGTGGGACTGAACCAGCTTACTAGAATCATGAATGGTTGTAAGACTTTCATTAATGGAGAGCTACTATGATGAAATATTTGGCAATGTCAGTTTTAAGTTGATGTAATATTTATTTTGGTATTTATAGGTCTGCAAATGGAAGGATAAAACTGAGGTTTTTGTTTAAAAGAATCATGAATATAGGAGATATGATGCTTCAAAGGCACTTATAGAACACAAATTTTAATTATCTGTCAATATCATTATCTATTGTAGTATTCAATGCTTATTTGTAGACCTTATAGCATTTGGGGTAGTTTCTTGAAAGGATCATGATAGCTGCCATTGTGAAGGGGTGTGACTTAAGGCAAACACGGATGGTAGGCACTACTGAACGAGGGGTCCGAAACGGCCTCCAAAAGTGTACCAGATTTAAAATCCACTCAAATTTTGACTGGATTTTTGGATTTTTTTGGATTCTTGTTGGATTTTTTGGATTTTTTTCTTGGATTTTTTGATCATTATAGCATTAATAAATAGTATCCACCATGTTATTAAAGTTAACTAACCATTAGTTATTTTAGTTAACTGTTAATAATGGTTAGTTAACTATTAGGCCACTCCAATTAAATTTATAGTTTCCCCTTGCACACGCGGCACTGACGCGGGCGGGCGCAATTTTAATTATAAGATAAAATATTCATTATTAACATTATTCATTGTTATTAACCACAAAACCATTGCAATCATAGCAAATGCTTTTTGTAATAGATGGCTTTTTTTACATACATTGCGGTATTTTTTTCATCTGTGAAGGG